TAATAATAGTGACCAAATTAAAATAAAATAAAACAGAATGATAAAAGTACAATAAATTGGAAATGAAAGCTCCAGTGACAAAAATGCAAAAACACGACAAAGATAGGGGTACCTGGACTACGATTTGACCCCAAAACTAGTGACTAAAACATAAATTGGTGCCTAAAGTATGAGGACCTAAACGTGATTTATCCTTTTTTTAAACACAAACTATTCTCCTCATTTCACTTAACTCTGCCGAGAAGCTTACCAAGCTTCAACAACATACATGGCCACCACTCGCCGACCCTCACATGCCAGCTATCGGGCCGGTGGTCACCGTACCTGAACAGGTGACTCCTACCATAACTGGAGTAAGACCGTTCGAACTCATTGAACGACAAAAAAAACACTCCCCTCTCCCTTCCTATCTCACTCTTTCTCTTCCCCATCCAGCGACCGAGAAGGCTAAGAAACGAGCCTCAACGCCGACCACCATGCTTTGACCACACAACGGCAAACACTCGAACTCCGACCGACGGCCGAACCGATCCTCAACTAGACTTATCCTTCGTCCTACTCTCCTTTCTTCCTACACGGAGGCAACCCAAAAACTAAGGTCGAAATGGCTCCCTCGCCGGCCTCCAAAATCCGGCATTGCTAGGCCGTGAGTCAACCTCCCTCACACGTAGGCCACCGCTCAACAATGACCACCCCCTATGCCACGAACGGCTGCAAAGAAAGAAAGAAAATAAAGAAAGAAAGAAAGAAAAATCGAGAGAAAAAAGTCAAATAATCCTTTTTTCATTCTAAATTTTTTTGGGGAAAAAGGGGTTTTGTACAAGGTGGTTGGTTGGTGTATTAATCACCCCAACTACTACATTTTTTAATATTTTTATAAAATAATAAAATAATGATAAAAACATAAAACAAAAAAATAAAAAAATGGTGGTTACAAGCTCCTCAAGAGTGATGTTTCTCTTGAAGGATATTCTGACAGAATGATTTAATACGAAGACGACGCCTGTTTCATCTTCCCAAATTTCTTCATCATAGTAAACAACAACATTAATACGTATCATTTTGAGAGTTTGAAAGATTGAGAGTCTTACATCTTAAAAAACAATAGTTGAAAATGTCTAATTAAATAAATAGTATATGAATTAAAATATAAACTAACCCAAAAAAAATTAAAAATTTTCACAATAATTTAAATAAAACAATTTCATATTGTTATCGTATCGGCAAAATATCTCAAGGTATCATCCTGCTTTCCAATTTTACAACTGTAAAAAATAATATAAAATAATTAGTACAATAAAATTTGTTCAAATAATTAAATAAAAAATAAATATAATATAATAAAAAATAAATTTACCTTATAAAAATAATAACAAAATCTACTTAGCTTGATAGAAGGAATTGATAGAAGTGAGAATAAGCAAGTAATTTGGTGTGCTGATGTTTGCATTTAGAGGGTGCGTTATTTATATTGGAGGGGGGCGTTTAAAAACTGAGTTTTCAGGCTCGGTTAATAATGGATTCCCAATAATTCAACGTGCATAATAGAAGGCGTGGATCATGATCCACTCCTTCTATACGTGTCAGAACCCAACGAAGGCGCACATCGCAATCTGCGCCTTCCTCATATGGGGTGTCAGCTCAGATAGAACCCCGTGGAGGCGCGAATGGTGATCCCCACTTTATAGCTACTGTGTCAGAAAGGGTGCTAAATCGGTAATATTTGGAGAGAGGGTGCCTGACAGGTAATTATTGGGTCTAAGGATGATATTTCAGTAAAAAGGCCAAATGGTGACCTGACATATTTTTTTTAAATTTTAAATTATCATATAATTTAAGTATTTCTATATTTTTATTAATAATTTATTTTTATTTCTTAAAATTTTATAATTCCGTCCTTAATTTTTATTAGGTTAATTTTTTGAATAGTTTAAAATGGTTATAATATAATGTATGTTTATAATATTTATTAATCATTGACAATGCATATATTCCTAACAATTACAACTATTCAAATTTAGAATCTCAAAAAAGAATTATAACTCCTTCAATCAGTAAGACCATTTAATGGGTTCTAAGTTAAATTTTAATTTAATTATTAATGAGGTGTGATTTATTTTCTAATATAGTTGATAGAGATAAGAACTAATTATTTATACTAACAGTGAATACTCTAATTACAAAAATAATACATTAGTAATATTATATTTAAAGGCAAGCATATTGAAATCATGGCAGATCAAAAATTGTAAGGTCTTAACTGTATATGCATTTTCTTTTATTTAATCATTCATCTTCCATGTTTTTGTATATAACATAATATGATTAGATAAGATTCCAAAAATATGGAGAAAAGAGACCTAGAATTCATGTTGCAGGTTTTACATATAGCGTAATATATTGATATTGTAAATTATTTTATAATTTTATAACATAAATTATAAACTTTTAAAATTATGTTATAAGATTATATCTTTTATTAAAATCATAACAATATCTTCAGTTGACTTCATAGTTAGGCACTAATCCTTCTTTTCCAAAAAAAAAATTCTAGAATGAGTATTTTTTATTGGTATTTATCATTAATTTTATAGTATAAAATCTCAAAATGGACATTAAATTATATCAAAATAATTTTTTAGACGCCAAATTTTTAAAAGTTTACCAATGGACATTAAACTTTAAATTTTATTGTAAAATGGACACTACACCATTATCTGTCATAAAAAAGTTGATACGACATGCTAAAATAAGGAGATATCTCATATGACCCTTCAATTATAACTAAAATTGTGTTTTATTATTAATTTTAATTAAAATAATTTTTATTAAGTTCATTGATTTGAAAATAAAATAGATATAAATAAATTTAATATTATTTTTTAATATCATATTATAAATATTAAATTTATACCATGTCAATTATTTAATATGTAATTAAAAAATTCATGATTGTTTCAATTATCACATCACCAATTTCATTAATTATTAACAGTGAGTGTTTGATTCGAAAATATCTTAATAATTTACTAATCAATATCTCCAAAGATTTACTTTAATCAAAATTGGAATTTACAAAAGATTTCCTTTATGTTTTATTTGCATTATCAATTATGTACTACTTATTTTCTTTCTTTCTTATTGTACTTATTTATTCAAGGTGAAGTACACAAATAGTCTCCGACTCTAAGGTGTTAATTTGTTGAGTCATTGATTATTAAAAGTTATAAAATGATCCATTGATTATAGTATGTTGCTTTGTTGAGTGTCTCGACTATTAAAAGTTACAAAATGATTATCCGACTATTTATTTGTTCCAAACTCTTCCTTTTCGGTTAAAAAAATTAGCGAATGTCTGAACTGGACGTTAACATGATTATTGAGATATGATAGTCGTTTAAGATTCTGGGATTAGATTTATCATATCTCAATCAACAAGTAAACATTTAGTTCAAACTACCATTAATTTTATAACAAAAAAAGACGAATTTGTAACATATGAATAGTTGGGTGACTATTTTGTAACTTTTAATAGTCAGTGACTCAACAAAGCAACGTCTTATAGTCGGATGATCATTCTGTAGCTTCTAATAGGATTATTTACCGGGTCCTATAGGTTCATTTAGCACCTAAAACAACATATGTTTAACAATAGTTTACTCATCCAAGCCACAATTATGGATATCACTCAAAATCAGTAAATGAATTAGAGATAAACTACCATACTCAAAATCAACCAATGAAGATCTTGTATCAACTCCCTCCATGCTTTACTGCTGTGGGTAATTTGTTGTAACACATATATAACAAACAATGGTACAATGGTACAATGGTACGATACTGGTACGGGTCCTTCAAAACATAAAAACATAGTCATTTTTAAGAAATAAATGATGTTGTAACGATCACAACATCCACAAACATCTGCAATCGGTTGACATCACAATAACGATTGCAACCGTAATGTAGTCTCTTTTACGGTTAGGGTGCTGACCTGGGGATTCTCTACAACCGAGGTTGTTGATATTTCAGTGTACCCTGCAGATGAAATGACAAAAGGGTCATATGCATGGTTACAACAATCTTATGAATAGCAGCAAACAATAGCCAAAGGTGTAGGGGAGAGCCTAGTATTATGCCACCTTTCTTGGTGATTCAACATGGTATCATTCCTCGATGATTCTGCAATCGATCTTTTTCTGCTACTATCAATTGATACTTTTACTGTTTCTTTTCTCTCATCATCACAGCTGTAATTTCGATTGGCTATTGTTAAATCAAAATTTACTGCAGCATTAATCCAGATATAATTGAAACTGTTTTAGTTCTGAATTTTTACTGTTACAGAAGTTGTTGTATCAGTTGATAATAGTACAGCTATTTTGGTTGCATAAATTGGGTCTGATCATCCGATTTTCTGCTCCTGAATTCAGCTTATAAATACTAAGATTTTTCAGCATTTGAAATCACCTCAGAAATTTATTTACACTGTACGTTTTCTCCGCTTTTCAAAGCTTATTTTTTCTTTTCAAAGTTCTGGTTTTTGAGAGTAGCAATATCACCATTGTCCACTCTAAACTTCGGGTGTACGATTTCTTAGAAAGACAGTGTTAATCTTGATGGCATTATTCAGTGAAGCGATTACAACAATCGGGACGAATCTGCTTCTAAGGTAGTATAGTTCACCCCAACACAATGTTTTATTTTTTTGTTCAATTTATTCCTTTATTTATCCTGTTGGTATTAACTTCTCATTTTACAATAATTTTACCAACAAGGGATGCTGTTAATTACTAGAGAAAATTTTATCAAATGATTGATATGAAGCGATCTGAATCTTTAAGAGAGACTAAATATAATTGAACAGGGGACAATTTTATTATGACATAAGGGTGCTGCATGGAAGCAACCATAACACAAGTTACAGACTAGTTTTCCAATACCATTCTCTCCACATATGAGGCCACTTTCTTCCATACCATTCTCTACTTATTCGGCACATTGCTTAATCTATATGTTAACAACTTTAACAAAAGCTTTCTCAACCTCTGACAGCATCGATTTAGAATCTTCAACAAAAGATTTATCAGTTTTTGCGGATTCTTGAGACTGATCATCTTTTTTCGAGTAATATATCAGGGGGAATTGAGGACGGTTTGGGTCGAAATCCTTCACAAAAGACTTACCATCTTCTACAGGCTCATGCGATTGACCATCCTTTTTGGAGTAATATATCAAGGGGAATTGAGGACGGTTTGGATCGAAATCTTTGACAAATGATTTATCATTTTCAACATGCTCCTGAGATTGGCCGTCTTTATTCGCATAATATATCAAGGGGAATTGAGGACGGTTTGGGTCGAAATCTTTGACAAATGATTTATCATTTTCAACATGCTCCTGAGACTGACCATCTTTATTCGCATAATATATCAAGGGGATTTGATGACGGTTTGGGTCGAAATTTTTCACAAAAGATTTATCATTTTCTGTAGACACCTGAGATTGATCATCTTTTTTCGAGTAGTATATTAGAGGGAATTGAGGACGGTTTGGGTCGAAATCTTTGACAAAAGATTTATCAGTTTCTATAGGCTCCTCAGATTGGCTATCTTTTTTCGAGTAGTATATAAGAGGGAATTGAGGACGGTTTGGATCGAAATCCTTGACAAAAGATTTATCATTTTGGACAGGCTGTCGAGGCTTACTATCTTTATTTGAGTAGTAAATTAGAGGAAATTGAGGACGGTTTGGATCGAAATCCTTAACAAAAGACTCATGTTCTGTTGGTTTAAGTGCTTCCTCCGTGGGCTGGTCCTCCTTTTTAACTGTCCATTTTGTGTCTGGCGCTTTTCTTGCTGCAATAGTCTCAGCCGACTGAGAAAACATTTATCAGTCAATGCCATTAATTAACTTCATCAACGAGCAAAAGCTTTTGAAAAATATGAAAAAAAATAAATGAAACTTACCAAAAGAATGCAAAACAAAGCGGAAAAAGAAAGAAAAGATGCCATGATTGCAGAGAAACCAATTGTCTTCACTTCACTTTTGAGGGATATCTTGGCTGCAACATGAGTTGAGCTATATATAGGGAAAAGATATCAATAAAATATAAGAAAGATCATTATTAAAATACTTACACTTTTATCTTGACTTATTAAATTACCATATGAATTATATTTGTTATTTCCAACATATTCAACTTACAAGTGCTTATTACGTTTGTGTGTGTCCAAATTATAATCCATTTCACATATATGAAACTTATTTAATATATTTCAAATCTCGAGAAAAAAAAGAAATATCATTTATGATCTGCTTTTAATAGTTTAATTGACTTGAGATCATTTGGATATGATAACATATTAATGGATCAGATCTGTGATAAAAATATTTGAAAAGTATTGTCCGCTGAATTGAGTTATTAAATGGAGTAGGTATTCTGAATAACGAAGCAACTTGTAATCAGAGTAATCGAAAGTTATTAACAATACTAAAACTTGTTAAGGGCCTTTATCACTGTGTAGTTCTATTTTAACAAAAATAAAATTATTTATGTGCTACCAAAAGAAGAAGAAGAAGATGAATGGCTTCTGCTACGTTATCCAAAACCTCAGACTTTGCAAAATTCAATAGGCGTGTCTCGTTTATGCTAAACCATATTATATTGTTACCTACGCTTTATGTATAATATTATTGTGTAGGTTGATTGTTCAGCAACTGTGATTATCATCTTAATGTTTGTATTTCTTCTGATGCATGATGCTATGTAATACGTAGTGACTATATTGTAGTACGAAAGTATGACAATATGTATGTCCGATAAGTATGATTTTTGGTTTGAGTGTTAAGGGTTTTGAATTTCTATCCTGAATTTAGTTCGTGAGTTTACATCTACCATGTTTAAGGGTGTTTAACGAGTTGAATAGTTCGTGAGTTGTTCGAAATTGACTCAGTCAAAAACTCGTAAATACTTGACTTGAACTCTAACTCGAACTCGACTAAAGACCTTAACGAGTTAAGTCGAGCAAAGTCTAAATAGATTCGATAAGATCGCGAACAACTTGTTAATTTTTTAAAAATATTTTTTAGTAATTACTTTAAAATTCTTTCAATCAAAAAATAAATTTAAATAATAATTATTAATTTGTTAATAAATAATAAAAAATGTTAAATTAACTAATATATTAATCTTTCTAATAAATAATTAAATATTATTAATTAATAATATTATTTTACTTTAGACAAAACAAACCCTAATATCCTAATCCAACTTAACTCTTTAGTTTTCGTGTAACACCCCAAATCTCGGGTTAGTAGTTTGGGCTAACCCGAAAGTGTTTAGACAAACCCATTAACCTTGTAATAGAACTTGGTCCACTTGGAAATTGAGTTGGGATTGGTTCGATTCCCAATTGTTTAAAAAGGGGGCATTTTTAATCTTAGGGTGAAGGATGAAGGACCAAAAAAGAATTTCACCATTTAAAATTTCAAAGGCTAAAATCCCTTAATTGTTGATGATCTCGCGTTTGTTTTCTCCTCTTTTCCCCTACACCATAGTTTGTCTTCTTCACCAGGCCTTAGCAAAGATCAAAACTTTGTAGTTTGCAAGCCTCGATCGAGAATTACAAGGTAAGTTTTGAAATCTACTCACTCCAAGCTTCCATTCAAGCCCTCAAACACAAGTTTTAGCTATGATAACCAAAACATGGGTTTTAGTGGGGTTTAATGATTTTCAGGAAATCAACACATTTTTTGGGGAGAATGAGACCTTAGGAGGTGTTCTTAATCCTTCTTAACCTCCAAAATCCAGCTAGTAACTCAATTCTTTGATTTTTGTTTAGCGAGGGAAGTTGGAGAAAGCTCCAAGGCCAATGGAAAGGAGAAACTAACTCTTGGTTGAGTCTTTGAGAGTTTCAGCAGCTTAGGACATCATGTTATACACGTCTAACTCAACTCTACCATGTGTAGATCACTAGATATGTTTTAATAGGTTACATGAGTTATGAAGCTTGTTCATAGTAGCTTGAATCTTTTGATTTTTCAGTATGTAAAAAAACCCTTTTATGACCCCTCTAATAATACATAAATCTTTGATAACAGTTGGGAACCATAATAGGGTGTTTGGGATTGAAAGGTGGCATTTTTTGTGCCCAAAATAAGACATTTCTGGGCACAAATATCAGTACTGGAAGAATAGTACTGATATTGTTCTTACGAGGTGCGCATAAACAAGAGAGTTTTGAGTGAGTAGTATCGATACTCATTCAGGGAGATGCAATACTGGGGTCTCATTTTTTAGACTTACATGATTGGTATCGAGACCAATTTTCAAATGTGCAGTTTTGGTATCGATACTCATGTAGGGTTTCGATACTGAGGGTAAAGTATCAATAATCCCAGTAGGGATATCGATAATGAAGTATTTTTCAAAACATCAAACTTAAATTTGGTATCGATACTCAGGCCGATATCGATACCACATAACTAGAGTATCAATACTCGCCCAGGAGTATCTATACTGCCCTCTCTTATTACCCCATATCAGTCAATAGGTATCGATAACGAAAAGGTGGGTATCGAAACTGAGGGGTCAGTATCGATAGCAACAGAAATTTTTGGATAAATAATCCAATGATTAAGGTATTAGACTTAAGGGGCACAATAATATCATAATAACAAAAAATAAAACTACAAGTGAGAACAATAATTAATTTCAAAATAGCTAGAAACAATAACAACTATGAATTCTTAAAACTAGCCTTGTTTAACACTAAGGAAACAACCAGGACACCTGAGTCTCTTTAGCATAATACGACGGTCAATTGAATATCCCAGTCAGTGCCAAGGCACTTTAGTAGTCAACTAGGTGCAGATGCCCCAATACTTGATAGAGTAAGTTGGCTGGGTGTACACTATCGGATCTCACCCCAGATAATTGAGGGTATCTTAGAAAGGCTAGAGGGGTGTGTGAGCTCTGTGATGCAGAACCCTTAGTCATACCATGATGCCTATTTCAGTAGTTCATAACAACATCTTACATGTATTCAAACCTATGCCACTAGCCAACTTATTTAGTGAATACATGTAGTATAGTATAATTATTAATGTGGCACTGAGCTCGTAAGCTCAACCTATTGAATGTGTTTCCCTGTGTAGGTTCTTAGGTGACCAGTTTGGGAGCGTTATCGTCACCAGATATTCTAGCGTAACAGAGATCCTCAGAGTATGTCTTGATTTGTATTAGAATATATGTACTATTTATGGAAGATTTAAACTTAGTATTGTATTATTTTGTTATTTAGGGAGCTCCCATGTATTTTTAATTTTTATTACTATGTTTTATTTTATTTACTATGGATGGATTTTTATCATATGCTTTACAACCAGTTTTAAAGAAAAATTTCAGGTTTAGCCACTTCGATGGTCTCTTGTGGCATTCTAATCCATCGGTGTTTGATTCGTATTGGATTAGGGTGGTGCATTTAGTGGCATTCTAATCCCGCGAGTTAGAGTCAGTCAGCGTCTATACATGTTCATGCCTCTAGAGAGTTAAGAGTACTACAATGACTGGAATAACGATAATGACCATCATTTTATTTTAATCTCTGAGAAAACCTATGGCAGACGAGTCAGCATACAATCAAGATGGTAGGGATGAAAGTCATGTATCCCTAGCTGTCGATGCATTTGTCCTACATTAATACCAGCAGGGGATACCAATAGGCGTGGGGGTTGAGAAGATAACCTTATTATCAGAGACATTACCTCCGTACTTAGGCATATCGCTAGGGCCTTAACGAATACCTCAACTGCACTATCTCCCCCAACAGTACCCCCATCTCAATAGTACCCCAAGACTCTCTAGTATAAAGGCTCCATAGATATAAGACCTTAAACTTTCACGGTTTAGAGAATGATATCCCATAGCAGCAGACCAGTGGCTTAGAGAGACTTTCCACACTATCTGACAGCTACGTCATCCAACTCAAGGGTGGTGCCATAAATTTGTGAGAGATTATAGATATTGATATGAAACCAGAGAGACTATCATGGGAGCAGTTTCTCTCTAAGTTCATATAGAAATAAGTAGGAGAGGCTCATACAGATGATCTGATGGAGCAGTTTGTACACCTAGCTCGGGGGGGCGAACTGTGATGGAGTATGAGATAGAGTTCCTTAGACTGAGTAGATATGCTGCAGAGTTGGTTTCCATATAAGAGCACCATCGTCGTATATTTAGAGAGGGCATGCAACTAAACATTCTATCACACCTTGAAGTTGACCCTCATAAGGTTTTTGTCCATCTATCTTGCTAGGAAAATGCGATCAAGAGAGTTCTCAGTAGGAGAGCCAGACAGTCTAGTGAAATGGTATAAAAGACCATGAGAGCATTATAGCCAGTAAGATCAACAAAGACTTCAGCCAAGAGGTCCAGAAATAGTCAGGGTTCTTGGAGACCCCTAAATACTCAGTCCAGGAGAATCAATCAAAATTCTGATCCCAGGGGAATATCTAAGTCTCGAAAGAGACCCCTGACACTAGTTTATGGGGCCAATGCCAGTGAGACGACCAAAGTCTTCACTCATCTTGTCTGAGCGTAGTGTGAAATGAGGCACTTGGTGACGTGCCATCAGGGTGTGAGGGGCTTCTTTAGTTGTGGATCCTTAGATCAGTTTTCAAAGACTACCCAAGGATTTAGGGAGCATCACCATCAAGGACTCGGAGGTCAGTGTCATCGATGTAGAGGGGTTAAGGGCCAGTAAGAGGTGGTAGTATTATATCTAGATAACAGAGAAGGGGTAGACAGATCAGTGGTTGATGTAAAACTGAGAGTAGCCTCCAAATAGTATGCGATGAGAGCTTATGAAGAGTGTGATGTAATAGAC